AAAAGAGACCGATCTGTGCACATGCCCGGACGACACCAGACATCAGCTGATCTGCCCTGCCGCTCGGTATCCATGACAACACTGTCTCCTGGGAAGTTGGCATGACAACAATGGGAGGAGAGAAGCGGCAGCGGCGAGGGGGGGGGGGAGGGAGGAAGAAGGCGAGAGGGGAGAGACAACACTGAGATAGGGAGAGAGGGATGAGGTGGGGATGGGTGCAGGACAGAAATAGAATGAAAAGATGAAGGTGAGAGAAAAGATGGCGAGAAGCAGCGAGATGAGTCAGTGGAGCACAATCGATATTTCACCGTTTCCTCAACAGTATTTGTTTTATTTAACGAGAAATACGGAGCAATGATATCGCTTCTGCAGCGCAGGCATTAATTGGCGTATAAATCCTTTGGCAGACGGTTGCTGGCTCCTCACTAAAGCAGCGGCCATCTATCAGCGGGGCCCTGCAGGAGCAGCCGTAAGTACGGGGCGGCCGGGGGTGGTGTTAGCCCCTCGGTGCTAATCAACAATGAGCTAACTGCCCTCCCCTCTGTTTGACCTTCTCCGATCGATAGCTCGGCGTCACGCTGCTCTCAGCCTCCATCAGTCTCCAGGTCGTCCTCCACCTTTACATTTACTGAATTAACAGTGATACTATGAACGTGACAGAGCAGCAGTGACGATCAGTCACACGGTTTACTGCTGATAAAGAGACGGACTTCTCTTCACAATATCAACGAGCGAGGCAGCTTTTGTCGACTTCAATTCAATCAAGACGTAACATATTGTCGTCTCCATTTTGGTTCGGGCCGAGAAGAATCCTGATCAGAGGCCTGAACCACCTCGACTGTCTCAGTTTGATTTCCCAAAACTGGAAATTCACAAAAATATTTTTAAAAACTAGTTTCTTGTAATTCCTGTTTCTGCACCAAAACCGAATGGGTCCTTTAAAGTGAATCAAGACGCACCGGGGGGTGCCGCCTCCATTTTGGTTCCCGGTCTACGCAGCCCACCATGGTTGCATCCTTGGTGGGCTGCGTAGACGGCGTCCTGCCCCTGACCTGGAACACACATAATGTGTACCAAGCTCCTCCTGTGGTGTGGCTGTGTGAAAGCTGCAGACCAACAAGCTGAGCCTCATCCTCCTCCAGCTCCACATATGACTGAGCTCATCAACTCATGAGTGTGTGTGTGACTCAAAGACCAGTAACTAAAAATCTCCCTGACTCCCGCTGCTCGCTCTCACTCTCTGCCGCCATCTGTCTAAACCGCCGCCTCCCCGTCTCACTTCCAGATGCCTCCGCGCGGGCTCCTGGTGTCCGTCTGCGGACTCTCTAACTCCCTCCTGTCACTCTGTCAGATTGAACACTGGGACGTCTTGTCACAACCGTCACCGCACGCCGGCCTCATATCTCACTCACTTCCCCAGATGACGGGGGCGTATCTGCCCGAGAGATTGATGCACGACGCCCTCACCTCCCGTCTAATCTCTGCCTCACCTCCAAGGTCAGTGGAGCAATAAGGTGCAGAGGCAATGTTTGCGTCGCAGCAGAGCAAAATGAAAAATCTGAAATATTTTCTGTTGACGAGTCTTTTAAACGCTGCTTTCTTCTCTCGCTTGTTTTCTTAACTTCGCCTGCATAGTTTTCATTTGCTCTTTGTAGTTTCAGTTTTGCACCTTCAGGGTGAATTGTCTGGTTAACTCCTCTTTAAAGGGCTGTTTGATAAATAGAAAGTGTTGTGTAGGTTGAAATGTGTAAGTATTTCTGAAATCTGACAACCTCACAGCGGCCACATGGACCAGAAGACAGAGCAAATAATCAAAACATGAACCTGAACGTTGAATCGAACAGATGTTGACGGTGTTTGTGACACAGACAAGGTGGCGTGAAGTGAACACAGGACACATTCGCCATGGAAACAGCCTCATGTGAAGCGGCCTTAAAAGACCTATCACAGCGTGAATATGAAATAAAAGCAGCCAATTACGGAGCTCAACAGGATTTTTGCATATTGACATGTTGCCACATGAAAACAGGGCTGGTGGTGAAACACAGAAAACAAGAGTCACCAGAGCCACAGCCGCCACTCAGGTCTGATGTCTATGTTTTAACTCTCACATCACGAAATACAGACGTGAGGAAAAAAAAAAACTATCACAAGCAAATATTATTGACTTTTCATCTTTCTAATTTATACAAAAATATGAAACTCTGGCTGCTCGTTGGATGAATCAGCAGCAAAGACGGAAGTCTCCTGAGCTCTCATCGCCGAGCAGTAATTTGATCTATGGATTTTCATTTTCAGGCTGCTCAAGTGTGTAACCTGTAATTCAATACACATCAACAACTCGGCATAAGTCATTCTCCCATGTGACACACACTCTGGTTTATAGCACGTGAAACAGGGTTTTATGGATCTGCATCACGAAGATCTCTGATTCTATTAAGTCGATAAACATTCTGCATATTTCAACATGTGCGTTTTGAATTATTGTCTGTCATTGTATGTGTCTGTTTTTTGTTTTCTGACCCTGCTTGTATTTATATATGATCCATTTTTAAATTCATTTGCTGCCCACCATGACCAGGACTTCCAGGCAGAAGAGAGACTGTATCTCAGTGGGACCTTCCTGAATAAATACAGGTTCAATACTGTAAATCTGGTCGACCCGTGTGTAATAAGTCACCGTGTGTCTGTGATAAAGACGGCTGTTAAAAAGAGGAAGTGTCATACGTTGTAGAGGGGGATGCTCTTCATGGGCTTGTACTGCTTCAGGGGATCCATCTTGTACAGGTGGCGGTCAGTGATGAGCACAGTCCTGTCCTCCGCCTTGTGGAAACGGTTGATCTGGGAAACACAAAGCACCTCATTAGTCCCCCCCCGCGCAGGAAACAGGAAGAGCTCACAAACAACTTGGTTGGGGGGCGGAAACCAGGAGCATGTCAACTCTTTCCTGTGCAGACAGATACGTGTGGCTAACAGTGGATGAGTCCTCTACCTTGCGAACATTGCAGGAGAACAGAACCCTCATGAATTTGTCTTTGCGCTGCAGCTCGCTGGAGACGAGCGTGAACGACGACGATGTGTCGGGGCTGTCTCGCTTCTGTTTCGAACACAAAAGAGACACACAGTGAGAACCTGTCAGAAACACGGACGGAACAAACCGACACTCATCAAGTTCAGAGGAGGACGGTGAGAAGGAGCTTCCATCTTATACACACGCTGAAATATCAAAGCCTTTTTTATCCAATTACTGAAATTGTAAAAAAGCTTCTGTCGGCCGTCTGGTTCTTCTTCTTCCTGTTTACATCACCCTCCCTACAGTTGCTCTTATCGTAGCTCAGCCGTGAACACGACGTTAGTTTTGTCACCTATGCCCCAGTGAATCCTGGGAGATATCGGCCCGAGAAGGATCCAGGACACATTTGTTGGCAGCTTTTTGTTTTAATTTACACAAAACAAATCCATCGAAAATTAGCTTTTTGGCCAAGAAACTAAAAAGATGTCGAGGTTCAAATCCTGGCGTTAATATGGATCTTAGAGACAGTGCCACCAGCTGATAGACAGTTTACAGCAGGAACACAAATAAACCAGGCTGCATACAAGCCAGACGTATATAACTGCACTCCACCCACACCTCCTCCCCCCCTGCTCACCAGATAGTTTCCTTCCCAGGCTCTTTGCAGGCCCAAGTCGTTCCTTTGGCCCTTCAGGGCCTCCAGACAGGCGACCTTGGCCCTCACCTGCAGGGCCTCCTCTGGAGAAAGGCCTTTGATCAGTGTCCATGCCCACCACCTGCAGGTAAACACATCCAAACACACAAGCCGAGAAAACTGAGAATGAGAAAACAAACAAGTTTGTCCACAGAGAATCCAGCACGATGCCATGATGGTTGGACTGTGTGTGTGTGTGTGTGTGTGTGTGTGTGTGTGTGTGTGTGTGTGGGGGGGGGGGGCAGGACTCCAGCAGGCCCCAGCTGTAGAGGACTTTTTGGCTTTTCACTCACAGTTCCCGACAGCCAACATCATTTTCTGGGAAGGCTGAGGCCGGCTACAATAGAAAAAACCAACGGACGTCGGGATGAAAAAGTGGTGATGAGTCTTTGATGGAGGAAGTAAAATCAATTCTCAGTGTGAGCCCGAGGCAGAGGGAAATGTGTGCGAGCTGCTTCGATGGACTCATCTGGACGTAAAACAACCGTGTGTTGTCTCCTGCGGTGACGCTCTGATCCGAGTGAAGAAAACGATTTTCTTCAAAGCCTTCAAAGCCCCATCCTCTTTTTAATCATTTTAATTGGGGACAAATTGTTAAACGTTTAAAACGTAATTTCACTTTATATTTGAACTACTTCAGATAAACGTGACACAAAACCAGTTCTAAACTTAGACCCACTCAGCAGCTTGAATCTGCACGTGAAGATTCACTGATGAAGAGCTGCTCTGTGGTCTGTTACCTGTTGTAGATGCTCCTCAGCGCCTCCTCGAACTTGCGCAGGACTTTTGGCGGCGTCGGCCACTTGACGTGTCTGCCGTAGTCCTTCATGGACCGGACGTTTTTGAAGCGACGGTTGACCTCGCGGATGTAGGACTTGACCTTGTAGCGGCGGTAAGCCTGAAGGATGACGAGGGCCGCTCGCATCCGCCGGTAACGCATCCTGGCTATGGTGCCCCTCCACACCTGGAGACGACATAATGAAAAACATATACTGTGATTGAGATAAACAGGGTTTGTTTGCAACCTTTGTTTTCATAATTGAAGAATTTGGCAATTTTTGTTACAACAGGATCGATGTACGAGATAAACACACACAGACCGATATGCAACTTTATCTATTCACTGCACAATATTCACATTCAATACAAACTATTCATATATCTCCTATAAAAGTAGTCCGACATGTACTCAAATAAATACCAGTACTACACAGTATGAAGCCATGCATCTTCCCATCCTGTGAATATTTCACAATAAAACCTCATATCTCTAGAAGACTCATGGAGACGACCTCTTTACATAAACATGTGTTGAATCTATGGAGTGGTCCTTTAAGCAAAGGAGGAGCTGGACTAATGCAGAGGGGATTATGGGACATTTAGAACGACTGTATCTAGATCTGATTTATTTAGTAGAACAGCCATCGCTCCCCGGGCTATTTTAGTCTTTATGCACCGGTGGTAAAAAGCCCCGACCATGAAGAGGTTCCACCCCCCCCCCGCATTAAGATCTAAATCATGAAGACGACTGTAGCTATAAATAAAGCACAATACTGTAGCTAATTTATAATTCTGTGTTTC